TGACGAGGCTGTAGATGCCTCCGCTTTCATCTCCACCTGAACGGGGACCTTTGGCGTAATCATAAACTGAAGACACTTTTACAGGAGGTGACCTGCTCGCTACGTCACCCTCTCTGATCTTCATACAACCTGTCGGCCTGCAGCAGGAGAATAAACCAGCTGACAGATACAAAGCAAACAATAATGAAGCTGATGTGTGTCACAGGTCCTAAAACTCACCTGTGTCAGCATACTCTGTTTCCACAGGAGGTCCTGAAAAACATGCAGGTCAGAAAATAAACAGCTGTCTTTAAGGCACATAACAGGAAGAAGAACCTGAGGAACTAAACTCAGGAACGATATGAAGAACTTCATATGAACTACAGTTAGATAAGACACATGACTGATAAAGAATCAAAATCATATCAGTCAGATTCTGTTGTGAGTCATAAATGAACACCCGGTGCTCTTTTTACAAACAGACTGAACTTCAAAGGTGAAAACAGCGTGACAGAAACGTCACACCTGACTTAATTCATGCAAACTGGGACATTCTGAGCTGAGACAGATCAACCATGGTGCCATGTTTCCCTGTTTGTTTTATGGTTATTTGATAAAACTGTTATTTTGAAGGATTATTTTTGAACATATCCAAGTGAGACTGTTGGTGATCGTCACCATCAGATCAGTAACACCTTTCAGTCCAACGGTCTGTTTTCACAGCAGCTCTGTCAGCCTGAGATTATCTGGTGTTACCATGACGCAGACACACTCTCATCGTGGTGACTGGATCAGAGTTACACTGATTTTATACAACAAAAGGTGGAAAAATGTGGAAGAGAAAAATCTTTTCTATTTGGTTGTTGTGTTTAAATGGTGATAAAAAATTATACTTTGTCATCATAAACACCTTTTAAAGGCAGATTATTTACCAGTACACTGAATAAGGCAGCAGATTATAGCGTACATGCTACGTTTTGACATTTCTATTGTTTGACAGAATATTAAATCTGTGCCTCACCTCTGGGTTTACTGGTCCTCCTCTTCATGTAGAAAATCAGCAGAGCTGCTGATAAGACGACGATCATAACGAGCAGAATCAGACCCACATAAATCAGCACATCTGCAGGAGTTTAACAGAGAAGATTTCTTTTACTCACAGTGTAAACATGTGGCCTCCAGGTCTGTTCATCTAGCAGTAAAGTTGTGCACATAGAGAGTAACAAGTTGTGCTGCAGAAGGCAGAAATGTGCTGATCACAGTCTGTATCTGTCATCTAGCACAGATCTCATGCAGTGCTGCTCTGAGGAGGGTTCAGGCCTATGCAGAACAGCAGTGGGGACAGAGCATCTCCTTAGTAGATCCCACACTTTATGGTAACATGCTATTGGCTTGAAGTAGGCCTCCAGTGTTATACGCCACATCCCCATTGAGTTCCTGTTGATCTTGTACAATTCTAGGCAGTCCAGGATCCAGGCGTGGGGCATTGAGTCATAGGCCTTCTTGTAGTTAATCCAGGCAGTGCACAGGTTGGTGAGCCTGGTCTTGCAGTCTTGGGCGACTGTTTCGTCCACCAGTAGCTGGTGTTTCACTCCTCCGGTATACTTGCCAAGTCATTTCTGTGCCCCGCTCATGTTAGCCACTGTGATGGCCGACAGGAGCTTCCATGTGGTAGTTGGAGATATATATTGAAATATTTAGCTGCCGTGGAATCACAATGTATAAAGTTATTGTAGCACATGAATCAGTGTTTTGACTGTTTTTCCTTTACAGACTTGTTCTTTAAATATTTAACTGTAACAAATTAACATCAACTTTATACCTAAACAACAACAACAACAACAAAAAAAAAAAAATGGAGATGCAGTAATTTACATATTTTAATGAAAATAAACATAAACATTGGCATTTTAACAGTGTATGGTCTTTATCCTTTACAAAATATCTTATAAATATTACAATACACACATTTCCTTCACTTGTGCAGTGGAAGTATTTTAGCTCAGCTTCCTCATACAAATAATATTTACCTTAGTTGCAAATCAATTCAATGCAACACGTCTTAACTAGTCTCGCCTCTTTATTTCAACTGTGTTGGATCATTAAATGTATTTATGCAAAAGTAGCAACAAAAATATTTCTGTGGCTTTAACTTGTGTGACGCCTCGACTGCAACGCTGCTGAACTGCTGCGTGCAACAAATCAATTAAAATTTTTTTTAAGTTAACAGAGAACTTAGAAGGTAAAAAGGTAAATATAAACAAAAACAAACACTTGGTAAATATTTCCCTTTACAGCACCGCAGTGCTCAAAGAATAATAAAATGATAGTAAGCACTCAAACTAAATACAAAATGTTAATGTGACATTTAAATAACAGTGACAGGTAAAAAA